TCAAATTTGTATGCAACTATACTACTACACACAAAGGTGTTTGTCCTTACAGAAACTCATTCATTTCTCAATTTAAATTAAAACATTCATAATATTCCAATCAATCAGTGTTATTTATCTCAACACAATATAAAAACATGTTACCAAAAATAGAGATCTACTGCAAAATAGTTATTTTACAGATTATTCTTAGAAATTTAGAAATAATATTGTAACATGTGGATGAGAATATAGATGGTGATACATATCACACACTTTCTAAAAAAGTCTAATTCTTACTATATAAAGAAAAACAATGAATGAGACTTTATCATCTCCACTGAAAAGGTATTTCCATTAACAAATACCTTCTCGTAATGTTTCTGAATGGTATTTTCAACCTAAATAAATATCTCTTTACTGAACTTGGACAATTTTTTTTTATTTCTAAGTAAAGTTTACTACTTGATGACCATATTTAGTAACTTCTGATTGTTCTCCTTGTTAAATCCAAAACTACTATTATAGATTTTATTTTCTAACATCTTCATTAGCTGCATTTTTGAATTCTAAATCTTTTCCTAAAAAGGCATAATTGATTCACAAAAATATTATAATTGCATCCTAGCTCCTTTATATATCATGTTGTTGGCTTTGTAGTAACACTTTTACACTAAATTTCTAAATCAATTCAATTCATGAGAGATACATATAATACATTAGGAAAATCTTGAAGAACACTTTTCTAAAACACTAAATCTCTTAGAGTATATAAACTGAATCACACCACAAAGTTTAAATATGCTGACATCAATTGTAAGAAAATTATTTTACTGAGCATTTTACCAACTTTACTGGAATTAATAGTTCTTTTTTAAGTTGCTCGTCAGCTCTTCCCTTTAGTTGCACTCACTGCTGGAGAATTCATTTACTTAACGTGATATACCAGCAAAATTGTGCTCTGGTCAAAATCAATTTTTGAAACAAATTAGTTTCAAATCATTAAGAAAGATGTAAATCAAACTGCAAAATTGATGCCACAGTTCTTACTCTTGTGGTTCTTCAGGGAATAAAAAGGGAAGTGAAGCAAATGTCTGGTGAGACAAATCAGAGATACCACGTTCAGATGGGGAGCACAAGGCTACGGGGTCCACTAGCAGTAAGTGGTTGGCCTGAATGAGATACAGCTTGCTAATTCCTGCACTATGGGAATCCTGACAAATATTTTTAGTAAATTTAACCACCATCATATAAAACATTTTTTTTTTAATTACCATTTTTAAAGTTACAGTTTGTGTCATCATCTCTCCCACCACTCAAGAAATCTGAGATTTACCTTTGGATTCTACTTTTTTCCATAACTCTAAACAACAATCTGCAGTCATGTCCTTTTGATCCCATCTCTTAATATTGCCTATTGACTTCTGTTCATTCCTATTGCAAGGAACATTATCGCTGCCCTTGATAAGGCCATTGTCATTTTTCTCTCGTATCTTCCTAATATGCATTTGTTTAACCAGTCTTCCCGCCTCCAGTCTTGCCTCCTCCAATCCATCCTTGATGCTGCCGAAGAGTGATATTTGTGAAATGCAGTTTAGCATGCTGCTTAAATTTTGTAATTGTTTCTCCTAATGGTCAGACCCAAACTCCTCCTTGTGGCACTGAAGTTCTTAGGTGATTAGCACACTTCCCCTCCCCATATTCCCACTTAATTTCTCCATATTTCTTCTTCCCATTTTAGGTAAACTTAGTGGTCCTTGCTCTATAAAGTTCCTCCTAAAAGTGACCCCTTTCGGCACTGTGTCCTTTTAGACACTTTGTACAAGTTACTTATACTTTTAACAGTGATTTGCTTACATGTTTGTCTTCCCCACATCTAGCCCAGTGACTGTTTCAAAAAAGGCACTAAAAAATGGATAAAAGTAAATATATTACTCTTAATGAGTAGTGTAACATAAATATAGATATTACTATATTATATTACTAATATTAGTAATACTAATATTACTAGTATATAAGTAATACTAATATTAGTATATATTAGTAATACTATATTACTAATATATACTAATATATATATTAATATAAATATAAATATTACTCTTAATGAGTAGTGTAATATAGACACCCCATATGTCTATATTGTCTCTATATGTATATAGAGCTCTTGCTCTAAGAAAAAGGGTTCATCTCACCTCAAGCCCTTAGAATCACTTTAGAAACTCTTCAACTTCTAATTCAACATATTCTGACACTAAACACAAATAGCAGTCTTAACTCGCTTGGAAAACCATATGATTTAAATGTACTATAACCCTTTCCCAAATAAGAGCTGCTATTATGGGGGATTAATGTACAGACCATTTCATATGTATACCTGGTTGTTTAGGAACACAGATAATTTCAGTTCCAGAATATATGAATTCCAGAATTAGTAACTTCTGTTAAAGATAAATGGCAGTTAAGAGAATTAGGGAAACTGAAAAAGGAAACTAAAGTTAGAGACAGAAACTAAGTAAAGATAAAGAAAAATGGGCTTTACAGAGCTACTCTAGTGGCATCTGGGAAGAGAAAGATCCAATCTAAGAGGGTAATCAAAGTGAAATCCAAGATCAACAATCTTGTCATTTTAACAAGGCATTTAACATATAAATGGGGGACCAGGAGTAGCTAAGTGTCATTTGATATGTATCGTATCTATAGCAAAATGAAATAATGTGCAAGCTTCTCATTTACTGAGTTTAGTGGGCATAGCAAATCTTTGTTTGTAAGCACGATAGGAAATAGAAATTTACAGTACATTAGAGAAGGTACATTGGAGTTATGGAGTTTTTATCACATATCCAATACTTAATGAGTAGCAGTTGGAATTAGACTACTGTATATGCTTTCCAGAGACCATTATGTCTTCTAGAAAAGTCAAAAATAATTATTTGAATTTTTAATTTGCTATCATTTTGTCATTTTCACCTATGATCTAGTAAGAATTGTATTCTTGATAACAGAAATGTAATTTCTTAAAAATCAGTTAAATTTTATTTAATTCATAGACATAAAAACAGAAATTTTTAGAGGTTTTATAGTTGAGTATGGCCAGTTAACTCCTTTGAAAGACCTTAATACTCCAATCTTTTTCCTGACTGGGGACCCCTGCCAGATATTTACCAGCATAGGAAAAATAACCTATTGCCTTTATCAGATTTTATTACGCACAGGAATCATCCAGAGATGTTGGTACAGGTAGCGTCTGTCTCACTAGGTCTACAAAAGATCCCTGAATTCTAGTTTCTAACAAGCTCTCGGGGATGCTGCTGTCTATGGACCATACTTTTGAATAGAAAGGCCTGAATCAGTGGGCTCTCAGCCTTGATGCCTATTGGAATCATCTGGGTGGCTTTAAAAAAAAAACATTTCTAGGAATAAAACATTACTTAATTAGTCTGGGCTACAACCTGGACACTGAGGGTTTTAAGAGCTCTCAAGTTGAGGTGAACAGGTAGCTAAATTTGAGAACCTATGGCCTCACATGTATTGGTTATATTTATTAGGCCTCATTTCAGTACTGCATAGGTTATGAGAGTAAAAATGTCCAAAAATCTCCAAATCCTTACTGAAAATATAATTATCAATCAGGTTCCAACTTTAAGAATCTCAGTGGTTTCATTTCTATATTCTTATTAAATTATTTAGTAACATATTTAAACAGTAGTTTAAAGATAAATACTCATGGAATTATAATGAAATGACAATCTCAATTATTTTTAAATTAGGAGGTAGATTTATAAAAATATAAATATGTGAGTTTTAAAGTATAGAGAAATGTCAGTTCCCTATAAGAAATAAAAAGGTTCAGACTAGTTAAGAAGCTTACAAAAAATCCCGAAGTCTTTCACACCAGGAAGAAGGCCCACAGACAGAGGAAAGAGAGGCAAAAGTTTACTTACTATCACTACTTGAAATAGGCGTTGCTGATCCAGCAGTTAAAAACTGAATCATGACTATTAGATCATTACTAATTATTTTGCTAAATTGAGGTTTGAAAAGGTCAAGAAGCAATTCCATCACTGAAGCTCCTTCCTTAACTTTTAGAAATGTGCACCAAAAATACTTAATAAAAATAATATTTTAAACTCGGAGGTATTTGCACAATTCCATAATTACAGTAAATTGTACTGGAGTTTAATGATTCAATGATAGTAAAGAGTACTGGAGTTTAAGTAAACTGCCACGTACTAGTCATGTGACTTAAACTTTGGAACAGGCTTCTTCACAACTAAAATAGTCCAATAAAAATGTGCAAACCCAAATTAATGCCACATACAAATATAAAACAGAATAAAGTACAACTTTGACAAGGAAAAAATAAATAAATAATATGGCATGTTTTGTTGCAAAGAGCTAAAGTCCTGACTGGGAATGACTTCCAGCTTTGCCACTAATTAGCCACATAACAAGCAAATCACATACTTCAATCTCATTTTAAAAATAAAGATGCCTCAAGATTATTTTGACAATCCCTAGCAGATCAAAGCTCTAAAAATCTAAAAATAACTGATTAAGTTACCCTCTAAATCAAATATGACTAATGCTAACAACAACAAAACAAAACCAAGAATTTCCTTTTAACATGATTGGTTCAACAAGCCTTTGAAGAAAAATATTTAAAACTTGTCTTCAAGTCTACTAATTGTATGGCAATCATTTAAAATAGTAAAACTATTTAAATCTAAAAAATATGTAGTGTGTGGAGGTGGGGAGAAAAGGGATCATTAAATGCAATGCAAGAACACCATGCAGAATTAAAATAAAGAAATAATGCAAACTGAGGATAAGTTATCAAAAGCTTTTTCTAAGGAAAACTGTTTCAAAGCATGCAGTGTGAAATTTTACAATTTACCCCAAACAACATACTATATAGGCATCGTTATTAAATACACACATTTTCTGTTTCCAAGTACTACAGATAACTCGTAATTCCTATAAAAATTACCCAATTTAATAAAGATGGTAGTACGTGGAGATTATTTCCTTTTAGTTTATTGTTTAAATACATGTTCTGGCAATCACAAAATATCTAGTGTAGCCAAATACATAAGAAATCCCTGTATGAATAAAAAAGTGCCATTCTTGCAGCTTTCTGTCACAAGGAAGCTGAGAAATGTACTGTAACAGTTTAGGAGACACAAGATTGTCTCAGTTTTAAGTTTCAATCATTAATCCTCTTCAGAACTGGAATCATCCTCTTGGTCAGAGAGTTCGGGAACAGGGAAGCGGAGAATGGCAGCTACCCCAGTCAACTGGCTGAGCTGTTCCCCAGAAACGTGAAGACTAGAGAATATCCTAACGGTGCCTGCATTCTCTTTCACACTGTCCACCAGCCTCACATACCGGCTCCGTGTGGCTACATCCTGATGCCTGAAGAGCTCATCGCTGATGAGCAATGTGTCAATTGCCATGGCTTCATTGGCCTTCTCCACCTGCTTGAGTCCATAGAAAGCTCGATCCGGTTCATGTTGTAACATTTTATAGAAGTCATCCAAGGCCTTGACTTCCCCAGCAGCTTTAGTGTCTGAAAGGCGGCTAGCTACAGTAGGGTCACAAAGGGCCTCTTTCAGGGAGTACTTGTGTCCGGAGGAGGCATGTACCTAGAATCACAATTATAAAAGTTAGGCAAAAGAATCTCTCAGAACACCCATTGATCAGCCCACAAAGGCTTAAAGCCAAAAGCGCTAATAAGGCTTCATATGTTTCAGCAAAGTTGACTCCACAAATTTGCTAGATATCTAACATTCTTTTTTTTTAAATTTCATTATCTCATGAAAATTCCAGGTAAGTAAAGCCTTTCTCCTCTTATTTTTCCCAGTTCTAAAACTTTAGGAGTAGTTTATACCAATCCCTCTGCCCATTCTTAACTATCCCTGGGTAAGATTGTTTTACCTGAAGAAATTTGGACCGGTTTTCCAGGAGCAGTTTGTTGTCGGTCTTCACTGCTTGTTGAAACATGTAGTCGCAGAACTGCTCCCTCACAAATCCTGGGCTGGCCACCAGGATGCACTTTACAACATCAAAGTGTATGTGGCGCTGGATAGCCTGGACCACCTGTTCATAGAACCGCTCCAAGGCCCGGTCATGCTGAGAGCAATTGCCTTTCCTTTTCCTAGGGATGTTCACCTCCACCTTGGCCCGAGTGAGGGTCATGCTGGGAGTGACTAAGCAGATATGGGCGAGGCCTTCCTGCATGACCACAGCTGCCACATCAGCGCTCCAGGCTGGGTCACAGGCCTGCTCGATGCGCTCCAGAACCACACTATCCCACTGTTTCTTGGCTAGGGTGAACTGGCGGTTGGGCTCCAGCTCGATAGTGTGGTAAGCCCCCATCTTGACATACTCATTCTCTTGGATGTTGGTCCCCTTAACCCGCAGCTGGCAGGCTTGAGAGTCGAAGTCGATGGCCTCCACGCAGAGAGTGAGGGTAGTGCGGACCCGATTGCTGCCCACGCTGCCCGTGGAGGACTCGGTCTGTACCTTGCGGATGGTGGAGGCGCGCAGGCTGTCGCCCACTTGCACGAGGTTGTAAGTGTGCCACATGTCCTCAGGTTCCTCGGGGACCAGGGTCACCTGGCCTGCATTATCCTTCTCGATGTTCTTCCTCACGAGCTTCATGACCAAGGAAGGGGCTCACTGACAGAACTACAGGAACCAAGGAGGTCCTCACCTCCGCCCCGGAGAGGGGATGGGAACGCAGGCCGGGAAGGGGGTGGGGCCCGGTTTCTATGGGCACTTGCCTGGTGGGAAGGAAATACTCTTGCTTCGACTCTTGCAGCCTAGGGGAGCACTTCCTCTATCCTTTCCTCGCTCAGTCTGCGGGCTCGCTGCGCCTAACAGGCACGGGAAACACAGCAGCGAAAATCGTCCACTCCGCGGTTCCCGCTGGCAGCCCGAGGCAGCGGGCTGACGTAATGAAGGCGCATGCGCAGCCCGCGTCCCGCGACCCGACGCACGTCCACGTCCCCAAGGGGGAGGCGGGGCCGCAGTCCGCGCACGCGCAGGCGCACTAAGCTGTGAGGCGCTCGGGACGAATGAACTCCCTAAAGAAGGTGCAGAGTGGCGGCGAGTCCTTTAGTTTAATGCCAAACTTGAACTTCCTAAGTTTTCTCTTCCATCCCTGTCTGTGAAGAATCCGGGGAGTGTGTGAGTGCAAATATTAGTTTTACCTGGCTGCGGCTGCCACTCTGAAACGCTTCCTTCTGGGTAAATTAAATTTCAAAACTTAGCAGTAAAAGTAGCTCTCAGAAGTGCAGATTTGGCCCCAAAGGCCCAAACTATTGTCGTTTTTGCACTTGCCTTATCCGCACTCGGACGCTACAAGCCTGTTGGAGCTGGTATTTAGACGCAGTTTCTGAGAACTACTGATCACGTTCTGTCTGGGCTCCCAGCAACATGTCCAGCTGTTTTCTGCGCTTAGTTACCGTGTCTGCACGATCTCATTAACCCAGATGTTAAAGCGCTGGTCCCAAGAGAGAAGAAACTATGTGAGGAATTTACCCCTGGGTGGACCTCTCAGTTGCTTGACCTGATGTCCTGAGAAACCTAGGCTCCAAAGTTGGCAGCCTCAGCTTTCCGCAGTCCAGTAGCCTGTGAAATGTTTAGGGTGGGGGTTGGGTCGCAATAGCTTAGGGCCAGATCTTCACTGCCACAGCTAAGCTAAAAGTCAAGGCTATGGGAAGTGGGGGAAAACAATTAACTATGACTGACCCTGATTGAATAGCTACATAATTTAAATACAATCCTTAAGTTACTTATCATTCTTTATTAGGAAGTGGAAATGGAGAAGTGGGATTGCCTCTTTAAAAAACCGATGAATAGAAAAAACAAACAAAAAAATCCAAAAGTTTCTTGAGAGCTTAGATGGAGTGGAGCGCAGAAGAGTCCTGCACACATAGCTTCTCACTGTCTTTTCTGTTTTACTCTGTGTGGATTGGAAAGGGGAACTAATCAGCCTGAACAGATGAAACAGGGATGAAAGGAAGGAATCTGAGTTTGGCATAGGTTTGTGAAAGGAAAATAAATCTCGGATCCCCAAACTCATTAAGCCAAAGGGAAAAGTTAAGCTGGGAACTGGGTCACACAAAACTGCCTTGCCTCTTGGTTTTTAAATGAGATGGCTACCAGATGAAAAGCTACACAAGTCGCTCATATTTTGCCCACAAGGAAATTCTCAGTGAGCGCCAAAATCTTTACCCTAAAGTGTTTATATTAAAATTTACCGTGGGAATGTAAATGGATAGCTTCTGTTTTCAGCCTCTGCCCACCTGACACAAATGCATATCTGATTGTTCTCCTGCCCCATTTATCTATGTTACCTTATGTAAAAATGCAGATTCAGACTCACTATGCCAGATGGGGGCATGAATGATTATTTTCCCCCTGCCAACTTCTCACATGAAAACTATTTCTCAGTATCCCACCCTTTCCCCTTTAAATTTGGAGCCCTCAAAATTATCTTCCCAGAAAGGCATAGCCGGCGCGCGTCCTTAATTTTGGCAAATAAACGTCCTAAAATGATTGAGACTTGTCTCAACATTTTTCTCAACTGACAGGCTTCACAATTTAAATTTAAGTGTCAATTATCTTCCTAAGAGATTATCAGGGGACGGAAAGGTCCCCTCCAAGGGGAAAGTCCAAGTAAGAACCACTACTTATTAATATTTGTGGCCTCTTTTCTCTTTGTTTTTCGTTCTCTATGTCTCCCCTTACTTCCTCCTTCCTTCCCACCTTCCAATCATACTGAGTACCCTCAAGAAGTTCCTAATTCACATTGCCTTCTTCCAATTCCAAGAGAACCCAGCAACTTTTCACTAAACAAAGAACTGATCACACTGAAGTGTGAAGGTGATTTGCCTATCCGAAGGACACTGTATTTTTTTAAGAAAGTATCTTGTTAACTTAAAATTCCTACCTAATTGGTAGGGCGGAAGTGTGCTTGGGTATGTATGTGTGAGAGTGAGAGAGAGAGAGAAGAAATAATTTTGAACTGGGGCTTTGAAGTGCTCCTCGATCATCTTTGTAAGTACAATTCGTCTTTCCCATAGTCTGCCAAAGATTAAAAGCCACAGAATCACAGTGGTAAGCACACAGTAGGATCTTAACAAAAAGGTTTTTATTGAAGAGCTATCACTTACTGAATGTTTATCAAGTTCTTTCCTATGCTCTAATTCTCCCTTGTAAGGTAAATATTCGTTATCCTAATTTTATAGAAGAAAATCAACAATGGGGAAGTTAAGAAATGTTTTCAAGATCACATGACTAGCATTGAAATTCAGGCCTGCTGAACTCTATACCCTCTCTTTCCACTACCACCATCCTATATTATGAATGTTTGTAATCATCTTTGTCACTGCAAATTATGTGCTGTTATCCACTGTCACTTCCCCTCAACTGTCACCTTTACCAGTTAAACAAAAACTCACAGCTTGGGAACCAACCTAGAGGATTTGAAAGGCACTAGTCCCTTTCCTGCTCTTTTATCACCTCTTAAAATTATTATACTTTTGTCTTCTACATAGTTTTTTTTTTTTTTTCCTTCTGTCCAGCCTAGGTGATCATTACACTCTTAGAGAAAGATCTAATATTCTACTTTAGAAAAAAAAAAAAAAAAAATATATATATATATATATATATCTACATTAGAAACCTGTGAAAAACCCTTATTGACTCTTAAATCCATGGTTTAAAAAGTTTTATTTTAAGTTATGAGACAAACCACTTCAGGCCATTTTAAAAAATATCAATGCGCTTCCATAATTGAGCATACTATAAAATCTTTCATAGAATTACTGTTTTATGTGAAACATCTGCAATAGTTGGGAACTTTTTTTTCTTTTCTTTTTTTTTTTTTTTTTGTAATTTAAACCTGTAGTTGACTATTAGACGTTTTCACCCAGATTTTGTGTTGTGGATTAGTATTTCTAGACCAATCATTATATTTTTATTTTGATTCATTTTGGATTCTCATTCCCTATGAATTAACGTCTACAATCCCTCTCTACAATCCCAAATTGCACTGGCCTTACAAATTTACTTCCCGCTTTTCCCCTCAGGGCATCCTATATTCCACCTTGAAAGTAACCTTTGTTTCCTACATATGCTAGGAACTTTCTCATTTGCTACCTTAACACATACTAACTTCTCTATTTAAAATGTCACTTCTTTTCATCCCTGCTTCCATTAATGCTGCCTATCTTTAAAGTCCAGCTTAAATGTTGTCTCAAACGTGAAACTGTAATCTTGAAACCATGTTAATTTAAACACATATCTTTTTTGTTGAACTCTGGAAGGATTCATCTTTATACTCTTTTGTCTTCTGAAAGGTCCTTTGCGCATAGTATACACTCATGTATTAATGATAAGCTAGGTGAGTCAAATGTAAAGTATGGCAGCTATTTTAACATTATTGCAGACATTTCCAGACATTTCTTAAGGCATTTATATTCTTATTGACTGTATTTCACTTAATAATGGTAGTTTAGAAACTGCTGTAGTTATATATTTATTTTCATTTTTTTTCCAAATAAGCAAAATATTGAGAAAAATACCAGTGCTTTTAGCTCTATTGCTTTAAATACTAATTTTATACTTATTTATTGGCTGTTTAAAATAGAAATCTTTATATCAGTGACTTTGTATCAGTATAAATCTTTACATCAGTAACTTTAATTATACCTATTTTTCCTACAATTTATATTAATCTCTTCATAAGGGGAAAAAAAAGTAATGTTACTTCTAAAAGTTTTTGATTTGTTGCTCTTGAGACACTTCCAGTGTCTCAAAAAGAGAAATGGGCTAGAAGTCAAGCATCCTGGATTGTAGTTCTTACTCTTCAATTGTTTTTACTGTAACTTTTGGCAGTACTCAGTCTCTTTGGAACCCAATTTATTTTACTGAAGAATTGAGGGAATTGAATTCAATAGTTAAACTTGTAACTAAAAATTATGCTGCAGTAATATTTTTTAAATGTTTAAACAGCACCTATAATCTCATCCTAACATACTTGTTTTCAATTTTGCATGCTATCTTTCAAATCTGATTTTTCTAAGACCCATTTCGGTGGTGGAAGACTGATTCGAAGTTTCATACTTGTGGACCAAGAATTGGCAGACGTCAAATATGGTCTTTCCTGGATGGATTCTACCAACTTGAAATAAGTCCCAGACCGCAATAAAGCTAATTATTTTCATTCTAAATTATAAATAAGATTATTTGTCCTGCTCTCTCATTTGACCATCCTTATGAGGTTCTAGGGATATTATGATACTTGATATTAATAAATTATAGAGCTCTAAAAATGCCTGACTTGAAGCTAGAAAACTGGATCAGACAAAACAAGGGACAAGGGCTCATTTTAACATGATCATGATTATTCAGCCTTGGAAAAATAACTGATTTGGTAGAGTTGACTGATGGATAATCTTTGGGGTACATTAATTTATGTTATCACCCCCCTTTCAGGGAAACCATAGGTCAGCTCTACTGAATGAAATGGTTCATGGACCTCATTGGTGAGTTGAATTACTATCTTTCCTATTATAATAATATGAAATAAATGTTTTATCTGATACGAAAGGGAATTATGGGCTCCTGAAAGATGGAAATTTTGTTTTAATACCCTCTGCTTAGCATGTGACCCTTAAACAGGGCTGTATAAATTGTCTTGTTTTCATCTTGTATTTTATTTTGGAAGGCTTACTTTCCTGCAACACAAACCTAATCCTTTTGTTACTCCATATAAAGCACCTTGGGAATCTCTCCCACCATTGCTTCTTTCCATGTCTACTACCTCTTCCACCAGTAAAGGCAGAGACTTACTACGTTTTATCTGTCTTTATGCTCCTGGAACACAGCATAGCAAGTGGCACATACTCATATTTTTAGTATGCAAAAATTAATGGTTATTAATTTGTCTTTAATTCAGAGTTTTTAACTTGCCTATAACTGACATTCTAAAATTAGGGAATCACATTCTGTTTTATAATGTTACTAAAAATTTTAAAAGAAGGTTACTCTTAAGGTAAGTTTATATATAAGCCTATTTCAATATTTGAGATAGCCATGCTTAGGTAAGAAAATGGTAATTTAAAATACATCTTCCCCAGGAAAAGTTCTTAAAATGTTTTAAAATAATACATAATGGCAATTAGTTTTATTATACATGGTTTGGAAAGTGAACTTTACAAAATAAGAAGCCAGAGCTCCAATTATGAATATCTAGTGATAAACGCAATTGTTTATTTAGAGAGAATGTGCAAACCTCAGATTGTGCGAAGGTTCCCATGTGACCTCTACCAACAAAGCTAAGTGGATGACTGGGAGGATTAGTTAGCTAATATAGACAAAAAGGTAAAAAGTAAAAGAGAAAGTGTTTTTTGGGTTTTTTTTGTTTGTTTGTTTTAAGGAACTTGTTCTCACTTACTATGTAAATTTCTCATGATGGAAAATGCTTACTTGCAGTTGTCACAAAATAATACAAAGCCTCCTACCAAATAAAGAAAATCCTATCAACAAAAGTATGTGTGTGTGTGTATGTGTGTGTGTGTATTTCTATTTGCATGTATTCTTACACAGCATAAGATCATTTCACCAAAAATATTATAGGTAAAATGTATAACACAGGTATTTTTAAGGACTGGCCAGTAGCCATGTATTTCTAGACTTCAGTATTTGGTAAAATAAAAGTCAAATTAATAAAATAATTTTGAAAGTACATTTAATTTATAATAAGGATATATGATTTATAACAAAATATATAAACCATCTTAACTATTGATGTTTTAAATTGATTTAGGTGCTATATTTAAATGTAAGAATTTGCATTTATTTTAGGAGATCTCATATGATTCATACAAAAAGAGTATGTGTATATCCACTCCTTTGCATATTTGAATTACAATGATTTTTCAGTTCAGATCTCTTACTTGTTTTGTTAATAGGGATCTCCTGTTTGGATAAAACTGAATTTTTTTAACACGTAAAGTGAATTCTTAACAACAACCAGCATGTGCGTTTTAATTTCCTTTTAATATTTAGTTGACTTTTTTATCTTCCTTTTAAATCACAGGAAAGTTTTGATGAAAATTAGTCTCCTTCCTATATACACAGCCCTGGAGCCTACCACCAACATGACAAAAGGTTAAGAGTTTGCCAAAGCTAGAGTCATTAATCCTGTGCAACTGGAACATTATTTGATCACTTTATTGTCACCTTTCTCCTGAAGCTCTCTTCCAAAGATAGAGCATTTGGAGGAAGCTCTGTTTTGGGGATCTGGTGACGCTGTTGGTGCCAGAGGAGCAATTATCCCCTAAATCAGATACAAACTTGGCACTTGAAGAGAACTTAGAGGAACAATGTCATATCTTTGTATCTAGATGGGGTTCACATATTAGCCTCTTCGAAACCTTATGACACAATGTTTAAGTGTCCAAAGAAGTAGAAAATTACCATGTAGCTATACTGTGTATTATTGATCATAATTTTCAGATGCACTTTTTCCCCAATTTCAACATCTCTGAAACTAGGAAGTATCTAACAATCTAGCAATTATAATTGGATTGGGAGTGGCTTGTCTTTCTTAGTGGTACATAAAATATGGTGCATCTTTCAATTGGTGGTGTCTTCCATTCCATTATTTATAAATTTGGGTATACAGAAATATTTCAGGTGGAGGTATAATAAAATCAGATGAAGGTATATAATAAAGGGACAATCTGATCCCTTAAGTATTTTATGAGTTTGTCAATAGTCAATTCTTTTGTGATTCATTCAATTAAAAAGTGTCTATTATTTCTGGGTGCTGTGGTTAAAGATCCTACCCTCACAGAGCATACAGCAAGCTGGAAATCAGACAATTAGATAGTTAATTATAATACCATGGCGCGTTATATAATGGAAGCAAAGGTGCTGGGATACACATGTCCTAAGGTAGGGTTCAATCTACTTCAGGGTCTTTTGGAAATGATGTTTATTCAGGGATTGAGATCAGTAGCAGTGGGAGTAACTACTTATGCAAAGTCCCCAAGGAGACTTTAGAGTAGCTGGAAGAATGAAGGAGCTGAAAGAAGCTCAATAATCTTGAAGATAGAAATATATGCAGTCATTTGCATCTCTTGATACTCTACTGTACTTGCTTTGAGGGCGAGTACAATTCTCCAGTCACAGACTGCTCTGAATAGGCAATCTATTCTGACTTTAGCACTGTGGCAACAGTTTCAAAATATCTTTCATCTCAGTTTCTTAACATGAATTTGAGTACACTATTTTGTATTTCATTCAACAGAAGAGTAGTGTAGGTAAAGAATAGCATTTTAGCCCCCAACTTTTCTAAATATATTTTAAACATGAGCTACTTTATTCTACTAAGATATGTCAAGAGATGAGGAAATTCAGCAAGTTCTAAATCTAGTGGAAAGTTTATTGGGTTGGAAGTGGAGGAACACATTAGAGGAGCATCCATCTACTAAAGTCAGAACATCAGTGATAAGCTGTAGCCCAAGAGCTCGTGCTTCAAAATAGCTGGATAAGTGTTATGACAGGAGGGAAGAGAAATAGGTAAATTAGTGTAGCATATATATGTGTCTCATGGTTACTCTCGTTGCCTATTTACTAAACAAACAAAAATCCCATGAATTCATTGCTGCCTTTACAAACATCACAATGAGTAAGACAATTTTCACCATATTCAGCAATTCCTGACAGTACATTGTCTGCCACTGGGAGTCATTCTTTGTTTTGAATAGGTGGCTGACTTCCTCCCCATATTCAGCCATCTCCCGTCTCCTCACTGGATTTCAATTTGTTGAATAGGGCAACCTCTTGGCCCTGGTGAAATAAAAATACAAAAACCGGGAGGTGGCGCCTGTAGTCCAGCTAGAGGAGAGGGAACCGGGGGGGGGCAGGAGCTGAAATCGGCATCCTCCAGCTGGGACAGAGCAGACCGTCTCAAAAAAAAAAAAAAAAAAAAAAAAAGGTCACAAAAGAAGACCCTTGCTTCTAGGCCAACCAAAATGTTTCTAGGGAAGACAGACATATAACTTAATTAGAGGTAATTCTATATTTATATTCTTAATAACAAGAGATAGTAGTCTTATTTGAGTTACACTTAATGCTGTACACCTAAAAATCATGGAAATAAAAGATTGATGTATCATTAATTAGGTCTTTAAGACAATTTTAAGTCTTTTAGACAATTATGTTTGGAATTCACATTTAGAGGAGTGAGCAAGAGAGAATGAACTTATCTTTAGGCAGCCTATATAGCATATTATTTTAGAGCATTTAATTTGAGGTCAGAGATAGGAATTGAGTAGATTTGTCATTAGTTCTTCAACTTTGGAAAGGTGAAATTAACTTCTTAGTACTGTATTTTGATTTCTTCATCTCTAAAATATGGATAATAGTTATAACGTTTTACTTTTTTTCTTTTCCTTTTTTCAAGGCTAATCAACTGAAGCAGAAGGAGTGAAAAAAGAACAAAGAAATCTGTGACTGGTTGTGATCAATTAGTAAACTTACTTTTTTAGATTAAAATGAAATAATACATGCAAAGCCCTTGCACAGTGGCTTGCACATAACACATTTCGGGGTTAAGTTGTGCTAGTTATTCCGTTATTGATTGTCTTGCCCTTTGTCCTCTGGAAGGTTGGATCTTGCCATTTGGGTATGGCCAATGGGAAGGCTGAGCAAGACATCAGAGGGTGGGAGGAAAGGAGGTATATTTATTTTCCTTACTCCTTCTCTGCTAGGCTTCAATTTTGTCACTAGCTGCATTCCTTTTTATGACCACAACTCCAGTCTAATGGCCACCCTCCCATAGCTAGAGTTCATAACAGACTAACACTGCCACCTCCTCAGGCCTAGGAATGGTCATGGTTTTTCTTCTCACTGTTGCTTCAGGTTCTTTTTTCCCACCGTTGCTTGCGCTAGATGTTCCACCCTCTTTTCTTGTTCCTTTAAGGCCTCTCTAAACTGTCACTTTATGAAACTGTCTTCAGTTAAATTCTTTATATGTGGCATTAGTTTATGCTGAGACTTTGATGTACATAAAACAACAATACTTTGTTTGGACATCAGGAAGGACATCTTTTTGATGAATCATTTTAGTAAATGTTGTAAGGAGCTAATATGAGACATTCTAAATCAAATGGGAAGTTTATTGAGATGCTGGTGGTTTGTTGTTCTGATGATGTAAATCCAGCTTTGAAGGCTGTAGAGTTTGTTTAGATGGCAGATGGTTGTAGGAAGGAAAGGTGGAGTTCTTTTCTTGATGCATAAAACAAGATCATATCTTCAGTGGCAAAGTGAACATGAGGATTATGGAGAAAGTAAATAAAGGTGATTGGCTATAATGGACACTTTATGCTTAAGGGTTGTAGTAGGCAGAATAATGGTCTCCCAAAGATATCCATGACCTAATGCCTGGAACTTGTGAATATGTTATCTTAGATGGTAAAAGGGACTTGGAAGATGTAATTAAATTAAAGATCTTGAGATGATGAGATTATTCTGTTAGGCGCATTGTAATTACAAAGGATCCTTAGGAAGGTAGTAGGGTCAGAGTCAGAGAAAGAGATATGATGATAAAGCAGAATCACAGGGGAAGAGCTGAAGATTCTACTCTGCTGGGTTGAAGATGGAGAAAGGGGCCACAGGCCAAGAATGCAGGTGGTGGCCAGAGGCTGATGAAAACAGAGAAACTGACTTTCCCCTAGAACCTCCAGAAGAAATGCAGCCCTAGTGACATCTTGATTCTAGCCCAGTGAGATTTCTGACCTACAGAATTGTACAATAGTAAATTTATGTTGTTTTAAGGTGGTGATCTGTGGCAAGTTGTTACAAGAGCAATAAGAAACTGACATAGGAGATAGAGAAAGCGTGTTGGATTAGGGCAGTCAGTTGAGAATTTTGGATATTATCTTAAAGCCAACAAAGAACCACCAAAGATTTTTTACTAAAAACAGATATAATGAAAATGATGTATTAGGAGGGTAGACTAGAAGTTGGGTTCAGACTGAAGACAGAAAGATAAGCTCTACAGTGGTGTGCATGGATAAGTACGGTGATTAGTACCCAGGTTACAAATGGACTCTGTTAATTGATAAGAAGTTTCCAAATCTGAAAGAGATTGCTAAAGAAGAGCCTACAGAATATAATGACTGATGGGGAATCAGCAAAGGAAAGCAGTCCAATTTCAGATGCCTCATGTGTTGTGAAATGGGCATAAAACACACAAGGGTTCTAAATATTTTAAGTCTCTTCCTGGATTCACCAATGTATATTTCACCAACATATATATGAAATTGTAACTTGCTAAACTTCTCTGTTACATCAAGTTTCACTCTTGTCTTTTTAGAGGATATGCAAACCTCATTTCATCATTTCTACTCTAGAGACTGCTTATTTGGTAGAATGAAATAGGTACAACTCAAATAGTTAGTAAACTACTGTATTCAGATTTTGCACAAAAACAACAAAATACAATCTAAAAACAATTCAGTTGGAGAAGACTCATAGGTTAAGTATGTGTAAAGAGTAGTGGCAGTAGCTGGTAAGTTAAACTACTCACTGGCTATAATGCTGTTCAGCAGTTACCACTGTTTGGATTATTGGACATTTCCTGAGTAGTGGGAAATGTTTGGATGAAAAGCCAGTAGCTCATTATTAACTCTCTTTACATCACCTGCCTTCTGGAAAAAGCTTTGCTTGCTGATAATCAACTTCTAAATGATCTTCATAAAAGTTAACAATGCTTGGACATCTAAGGCAGGTCTAAACTGGCTGGCTCTACCTTGTTTTTAATGGTAAAAATGCTAAATTAACTAGTACTAATAACCATGCCAGCAGTAAAAACACGGAACAATTGAATATCAATGATATGTTAAAGCCAGCTGTTAATTATCCCATTAAAAAGATGATTTTCTTTCACACAGAGATTCTATCGATACTTTCCCCCCACCTCCTTCCATTTTTCACCATTTCAACTTCCCACCATCCCAATCAGTAACTGGTAAAAAAGGTCTGACCATGAGTTAATTATTGGGAAAATCTTAGAAAATACTATATTTCAACCTTTTCCTAAATTGGATACAACTTTGCATTTCCACTATGTTTTTAAGTCCCCTCCTTAAAAATACACATTTATGTACAAATAACAATAGTATATTTTGCATCTTAAAAGTAGACTGCACTGTGATATTGACAGAGAAAATGTTCACCATTCCTTTCTACGTTTCAAAATATCCCTTCTCTTGGATGCTGACATAGAAACATCATTTTGGAACAAGTGGCAGTTTTGCCTTACATCCCTGTTTTTTCTTGTTCTGCATGGGAAAAAAGTCTGAATAGTAGACAGCAAGAAAATTCAATAATGTCCACTCTGGAACAACCCGAGGGTAGGAATTTTGCGTATGTATCAGGCGCCCTATAAGCATCACCCTCTCATCCCATGCCATAAAAAAGGGTGGAGGGGAGGAAATATTCAGCGAAGTCCTAAAATACAATGTGTATTGTAAAAACAACTTTAATTTTAAAAGTCAATTCTACTTTGTAAGTTTTCAGTGCTGCTTCACTCCTACTCCTAGGGTGAAGGACTTTGGAGAGACACCAAGACTAATTCACATCAAAACCAGAACGCGAAACTCCTGCCTGCTCCGTAGCCTGATCTGAGTACCTGGAGTGCCCGAAAGTGGAAGGGCACTCTCTCCTATCTGGCCCATGGCTCTGAGGACCTCCCTCCCCGCTCCAAGCCCCAAGCCCGCGAATCGGAGATGCTCAGAGAAAAGCGAGTTGCTCACCAGTGAGGAGCCAGCAGCAGGCGACAGCGACCCCTGGGCGGGCGCGGGGCCGAGGGGCCATGGCCGGAGCGGCCTCAGAGCCAGGGGGCCGCGCTGGTTCGCAGGACAGGACCTGGCAGGACCGGGCGCGGGAGCTGCGCGCTCTGGCTGGGCCACTCAGCCCGCTGCCGCGGTTCCCAGTCCTCTGCCCCAGTGGCAGCGGCGTCCAGGAGCGGGAGAGGAGTGATTTCCTGTGTTTTCGTCGAATGCCTCTAAGTGCGCTCCACGCTTTTCACATCCCAGACGGATTGCCACATCGCCCGCCCCTGCGCGCTCTTGATCTCTGAAATCTCACTGGCAGCTTCCCAGGCTCTGTCCGAGACATGGACAAATAAAGCCAGCTTCGCGGGTCCGTGTTTAGGCTAAAGTCCACGGGCTGTAGAAGCAAACCTTAAAGGGACATCTGCCTTTCATTGAGAGGGTGATCTCGTTCTCCGGGCCAAATCCCCTAAGGTGGTAGGAAGGCGGGTAAGGGCTGGACTTCGGGAGGGTGTCGCCAGCCAAGTGGCTCCGCCTTCACACCCCTGACTTCTCCCGGTCCGGGTAGCGAAGGAGCTTTGGCAGTACCTGGGCGCCCTTAACGGGAGGCAGCTTTCCGAGGTCCATTACGCAGAGGGATTAGGCCGTCTGTGAAAATGAGAGGATCTGGAATCCCCCCTTCCATCTCCTGCGGACACTTGAACTTCACCGTGAAGTCGTTTTGCACGAAAGGGGGCGTCCCTACCACCCCGACAGGCTCCACTGAGGGCTTTGCTTTCGCTTATTGGGAGCCGGGGTGTGGGGAGGTTTTGCTTAGTTTATGGTAATTCGTGGTTAAACGGTGGTTGCAGATAAGCTTTTCTTTGAGATAACTATGATAAAGGAAGAAAAGGAGAAGCAAGACCGAGGAAAAACAGAAAGAGGGAGAGAGAGAAGAGAAGAGAGGAAGAAAAGCAGCCTCTTTTGAAATGGAATGTGTGTGGGCTATTTTGTTTAAGTGAATTAGGATGTTTGTACACTGGTAATTGAATCTAATAAAGAACTCGGGGCACTGCTTTATTTTTTTCTTGCTTGAAACTTTTACGAGTAAAAATTCGTTAAGAGTCCAGACCCGCTTAGGAAGTAGCAATGCTTCCCTTTCCTGGTGAGTTGAACAACCTGGCTGAGTCAAAAGCCATATTCGTGCTAACTTCAACCAATGCTTGCTATTTTCAAAATAGCTGTGTCTTAGCGGTTTGGAGAGTTTCAAAGAACAGAAAAGATGAGTGGATTTGTGTTTAGAGGAATCTGAGGGGAACAGTTCAATTCAATTCACTTCAACTCAACAACTAATTGAGCATCTCTATCTAACAGAACTAGGGCTAGGCAGGACAAGAGTGCCACCCAAAGGAGGGTTCGTTGAGCAGAACACAACACAGGTAGCACAGAACAGGTAACACGAGGGACAGGAAGGAAGAAACCCACAGGGATCACTGGATACACTGCCAGTTAGAGGATTGCAGCAACTAAAAGCTGGAGAAGACAAAAGCTGAAGAAGTTTAAGGAGGGTCAAAAATGGGGTGGGCAGACCCAAGGAAGTTGAAGGCCATCAGATCTCAGTATGTTGACCCATTAGTCAAGAAATTCCTTTTCTATTATGTATCTGAACTGATTCACTATTTAGTGAATACATTAAAAATCCTGTTCTCAGATGTTTTTAGTTTTTATAATGTCATTTCTCAGTTCTTTCTTCAAATGTACACAAACGAGTCTCTAGAAAAATGGCATTGTGTTGGGTCACAGTCCAATCCTATTGGACTTTACTTGAGTTCCTTTGTTTGTGTTCAATGCTCTCATATCCTGCCAAGGAATTCATTTCCTGTGTACATCTCATTTCCCTGTCCATAGTATCAGTTATGTCTTATGCCTCTCAGTATGACTGTCTTTGCTTTGAACAGTAACCAATAGATATTGATTAATGCATAGACATTTAAAAATCATAAGTACTTTCCCAGTGATACTTCTCTAAATTGCTTAGTTTTCAAAAATATGTAATAGTGTGTCTATATATACACAAATATATGTGTGTGTATGTATGTGTATATACAAATGTACAGCATATACATACATATGCAAATACATATATGACATTTTAGCAACTTGCAATATATTTCATTAGAAAAAAACAAAGAGAAATTGTAAACTATCTTACTGAAATAAAGTAGGGTTAACATATAATATGTTCGAGGTTACAATCACTGGGAAATTTACCTTTCTTCTGGGGGCTAATACATAATTTCAATTTTGATATTTTTATTTCCTTTAGGACTTACAAATTATTGGTGATAACCGTCACTAACAGTGATATTGTTACAATTAATTTTCACATGTTACAAATTTTATGTGTACATATTTAGATATTTATGAATCTTTTTTATGTCTAGTCAATACAAATGTGGAGACTGAGAGATAACTATTGTTGGAGAATTAGTATTAGAATCAATGCTTATTTTCTGAACTTCAATAAACCCAAATACAAATAAATGTCAAGCCAGTTATTTTCTTAACCAATTTTATTCTGACAGAAAGACATGTCATTGAGTAAAGATTTAGAGAAGACAAAAACTTGCCCAGAGGCACAAACTAGTTATTGATATGAGATACTTGATGACAAATGTTTCAGCTCTAGACTTTATACTACATACTTTTCTATTTTAAGTGAGACTTGATCAGATCTCTTTTAGGATTTGGAAGCATGAGTAGGAGCATGAACCTTATTGTGAACTGCATACACTTCTTATGAGAATCTAATGCCTGATGATCTGTCACTGTCTCCCATCATCCCCAGATGAAACTGTCTAGTTGCAGGAAAACAGGCTCAGGGCTCCCACTGATTCTACATTATGGTGAGTTGAATAATTACTTCATTATATATTATAATGTAACTATAATAGGAATAAAGTGCAAAATGAATGTAATGTGTTTGAATCATCTTGAAACCGTTCCCCTCATCCCTGGTCTGTGGAAAAAAATGCCTTCCATGAAACCGGTATCTGTGCCAAAAAGGTTGGGGATGGCTGTGCTGAAAGATTAGAGACTGAACAGATTAAGAATTTGGAAAGTGGGTGTCTATTAAATGAGGCAAGAGTAATTGATATTATTAACTAATAATCTCAAAAAGAAAAATATATACTTAAAACCAAAGTATTCTTCTTGGAGTTAATCTAATATACTGAGTAAAGTAATTAGAGTAAGTAAGGTTCTGGAGTTCCACTGCTTGGCCTCAAGTCCTGGCAATATAGTAGCCACTATATTGTAGTCCTACTACAATATAGTAGCTGTGTGACTTGGGAAATGTCATCAAGTTTATCTAGGCCTCAGTTTTCTCAAATGTAAAGTGGGAATGAAAATCCTGTAGTACCTCTGGTCTGAGGATTGCTGTGGGGATTAAATGAACTGAGCCTCTAAGCATTTAGCACAATGCCTGGATTAAAGTAAGTGCTCAGTTAGTATGAATCATTCTTCTCCGTAAATAGAAGAATTGGTATTAGACAGACCATGGAAACGGCAGGCTCTGTGTGTGGTAGACCCTGTAGGAAGTGGTGAAATTTGACGGCCATCACAAGAGGACACTTTAATGTCTGCCTAAAAATATCTCCATCAATACCTATTATTGTTTCTGGAATCCTCACTTTAAAAATATTTACCTTGGATTAGGGAATTATCTTGAAGATATTTCTATAAAATGGGCATGCATGAAGACATCAGAACCCATTGTAACATTCACATGAATTTGCTTTTCAAATTGGCTGGCCATCAGAGGTGTTTTTTTTTTTTTTTACAAGAGAAGAACATTCCACTAAGGTTGGGAATAGAAGAGGGTCTAGAACTCCGTGTCT